TACTGGTCTTATTTCACTAATATTTAAAAGGTTAACAAAATATTCACGCTTTACATTATTGTCCCATCATCGTTTGGTCATTAGCATTTTTCATCCCCTTGTAACTTTGTACTTCAGAATGTGTCAAATCCCTTATATTGTACAATTGAAATAGTGACTGACCAGTTCATCAGCTGGATGCAATACTCCAGACATGAGCTTTATTACAACTTTATCAAATCTATTACAGATTGTTTAAAAGTGTGAATTTTCCTTTACTTCAATATTAATCTTTGTAGTTCTGCAGGTTGTTGGGTAGATTTAAGTGAAGTGAAACTGCCCTCAAATATTGCTTAAGTTAATTTTTTTACATTAACTATAATTAACATAATTACATTAATTGTTTGTTATGTTCTCAATTAATTACATCATTTTAGCAACAGGCATGTTTTGTGTGTGCATTTGGGTGTTTACTATTACTTAGGATTCTATATTTGGTATATCAAGAATGCAGTGAATCTTAGGGCAATCCATCACGATCCTACAGTAGATATATATGACGAACTTTCTGAGGATTGAAAGTCTATGGACAAAAAATGCTTTAGATGAACACTATTAGATTATGTGTTGGGCAAATAATTCTGGATGAACATTTCTGAAACCATTTAAAAGAAGCAAGAACTTACGAATTCACTTACACTACTAGCATTAAGCAAATGATCAAGGTCCATGAAACACTATTCCCATGCACAAAAAACAAGTTTTAATTTCTTAACCTACAAAAAATATTCTACGAAAAAGAACGGGTTTAAAGATCACAAATAAGAACAAAAAGCAGCAATTTCAGTAACACTATCCAACTGTTGATCCCCCTCCCACTTGCTTACCCTGCAATACCTTTCTCAACATCCAGTATCTTATACTGAAGTCCTTACTTATCGGTTATCAGATGTTCTTACAAAATTGGAATCAGAAAAGCAAGAATAACATCCTAAGATGGTTAAAGAAAAATAGTACAATTCTGTAAACTAAATACTATTCTAAATGAAATTAAAATCACATCTGAAACATGGCAACATGTTACACATTTTTGTTTTATTTTGTTACGTACTAGTACTATTATAACTTTTTGGTGTAATTTAATATAATGTTAACTTACGTTATCGCTAATAACCGGAGCTGACATGCGACCTTAAATATTAGAAACTGTGCGTGCCAGTAGTTGTGACCAGTTTCTTTCGCCTCCGAAAATAGTCATGTTCTTCAAATTAAAAACAACTGAATCTAAATTATGTTCATACAATTTCTGAATTACATTAATACGTCTGAAATTTTAATACACTTAACGATCCGTTCTTATACTTGATAATTTAATCATTTTTCAGGAGAAAATAGAAAATTTTGTGAACTAGTTTCTAGAGAATCACTTCGGCCGAATTCAAACTCTTAATAGAATCATTATAACAAAAACAAACATGTTCAATTTGCTGAACACAATTTAGTTTTCCACGATCCGACGATAACCCCAAAACAACTTAACGCAGAACGTAACATTCTTGACGAAGAAAATACTCCTCTTCAAGTAACAAAACAGTGTATTACCATTTTCAAATTTTCAATCGTGCTTACCAGTACAACCTCGCTACTTCTCGGTTTCGCCTGCCACGTGGTCCAAAAACAGGAAACAGACTACGTATTCTCCGTTCAACAGAACAAACCGAAATGAGGGGGAAACAGGGAAAGCGTTGCATATATACTTTGGTTTTTATTTCTTGGCGCGTGAGGGCCACACTTCATGGAATATCCAACGGTATTTCGCGTCTTTGTCGTGCCTCTAGATGTCGCATGGTCGCCAAGCACTACTCGATGAGGAAAGCTTCACTTTTCACAACACTGAGCAGTTTTCCCACCATCCAGAAAGCGTGGCAGTGACGGAACCATAGAGGAGAGATACAATTTAGTAGTAGAGATATATCTCTACTCTATGGCACGGCTGGGCGTGCGTGACAACAGGCCCTTACGTGCCAAGAAATAAAAATTCAGGTATAAACTCTCTGGATGAGATGCACAAATGATGCGAAGTCAGAACTGCGCAACCGCACAAGTTTGAGTCCTGTCGATTGCATTGAGCACCCTCGAACGTTAAAGCACAAACAATCTACTGGGTATACGCAGTTCCGTATCGTTTAAGAGCAGGAGCAGCTACGGAGTTTCTACTCACCATAGGGGACAGCACTATCGATTTCCTGCGCATGTGCAGATGCACCCAGAGAGTATATGGATGCACCAAAATGGTGCGAAACTTTAAATTTCCAAGAGTTGTTTTCTACATAAACACGTATCAAACAATAAAAAGTTCGCAATGCTGATTATTTGTAATTTTTTTATTATTACAGTTAATATTTTATGCTTGTGATGATTGAATACAAGGATGTGAATACAAATAAAAAGTTTCTACTTTTACATTCTTCATGGATATTGGAGCAGGCAGTGATACTTAAATTACATAATATATTTATTTACACTTTTAGCATCTTAATAATACTTTAAAAATTTTTTTAATTAATATTTTGAACAACCTCACTACCATTTTAGTATATAAAAAATTGATTGTATCTGTGTGTGATTTCTCCAGCATCACTTTCAATGTCTAAATCAATTTTAACCAACTTGGTACTCTCATGATTTACAAAATACATGGAGTAGGACTCAATCTATTGGAAAATAAAATTTAAAATTGAAATGTGGGCAACTTGCCATGATCTAATACTGGTCGGGATGTGCAACGCCGTCTGCTAGTTTTGGAGAATTTAGATGGAAATTACTTCTTTAACTTCCCTTCAACAATGACTTGTAAAATGCGACTACTTGTGGTATTCAACATAGCTAAGCCACGTAGTGATTTTATGAAAAAGGCAATAAGCAATTTTGGCTAGAAGCAAGGATTTGGTTGAAAATATTCAAGATTTTCAAAATTGTGTTAAAACTGCATTGTTTATAAGTAGTTATATTTTAAGAATTTGTTTTATAACATGATTATGTTCTGCACTTGATAGCTTTCAGACAGCAACTAGTTGTGAACCTAACCAATGAATATTTCTTCAAACATGTGTAAGTAGAAGAAAAATGTTGAGAAAAGTTTGTTGGAAATAAGAAATTCTATGCAGCATGGTGTTGAAGAAATTTGGGAAATATATCTGACTTTTCCTGATTTTCAAAATTACCAACATTTCCCAGTTTTTCATGTCTTGTTGACACTGTGTTATTTTTTATCAATAGAGGAACCTCTTAAAAGTGAAAATAAAATGTTCCTTTCCTTAATTAATATATGAAAGCTTCATACATTTTGTCAGGTATGTCATAAATTGACAAGAAACAACAACAATAATGTCATCAGAAATACACCTACTTAAATTGATCATCACAATTGAAAGTTATATTAATTTATTAAATTAATTAATTAAAAACATGAAATCAAAAAATTAACATTCAACAAAGAACACATACCATCTATCAATACAGGCTGGCACAAAGCAATTTTTACACCAACACAATGTAGCAATCATTCAGTTACTTTAACTTTCCTGTATTGGGCACGTTAGACCAGGGTGGGAATTGGCAACTTTTTCCAGAGGGAGTCATTCCAAATTTCAGGGACGATAGCTCTAAGAATGTTTAGTGAAACATATGACATATTGGTGCATGTAATACAATTTGAATGAACAATTACAAAGACTCTTGTAATGCCCTCGAGAATATTTTGTTTTCCAATTTGTCATTTGAATTCCTTCTTTGGAACCAGAGTGAAATCAATAATACAACCAAAATGTTGATGAATTTTATCCCTGGCAAGGAGACATTTATGTTCTCCAGCAAGAAACATCCAACACTCGTGGGGAGGGGGAGAACAATCCCCTGCATTCCCCCCTCAATTCAGACCCTGGGTTGGACTGATAATCACATTATTTTGTATTTTCATTATGTACAATAATGTAATCCAAATATCTTGCATTCCTCGTATCAGAATTTTGTCATTTTCACTTATTTTGTACTGAATACTCAAACAAGTAAATGAAATATAAAAATAAACCAAGTCAATTAAATTAACTAATCATAAACTTGATTCCACCAGATCTAATCTAACAAATTAGTTAACAAAATTTAATGTAGAGTATCTTAATCGCTATTAACAACAAAAACAAATAAAAATGATAACAAAATACTCCTTGTGCAATTTCATCACAGATCTTTATAAATAACACAACTGACACGTTAATAATAATAATAATAATAATAATAATAATAATAATAATAATAATAATAATAATAATAATAATTCTGTAATTAAGTTTGGACGTTTTATTAACTTCATTGATTTAGCACCAAGAACCCAACAACATTTCTTGTAAGATGAAAATAAATCGTATCACTAACATTCGAGACCTCTTGAAAATAATGACGAAATCACATAAACAAAATGTACACTTAAGAACATTATCACCAACACAAAATTACTGTAAATTATTGGCCTACTCATGTCATATTTCTCCAGACATGAAGTTACTATAAACAATGAAGAATTCTAAATTATTCCAATGAAATGCCATGAATACTACTTCAAAACTATATCAAATTCTTCGGTTCATGTAGAATGTCCATTAAGAAATGACTTACCATTAAGTACATTTGTGACATACAATAACAGGGAAATCTTTTGGAAAGACATTGACTTGTCAATACACTGTTTGTTGTTAAATATACTGTTACAAATTTTTTTCAAACGAGGATACGAGAATAGTATTCATATAAAATATGAAACTGTCATTAGCAATGAAAGCAGTTCAACACAATGTCACCTTTCAGTTTCATGGCAAGTAAAACTTTCATTTTGGAACAGTATAGAATAATTCTATGATGCAATGCAATATTCACAGCATGGTACAAAAACTGTATTAATTATTATGACATATAATTAACTTTTATGTGGGTGTAATGCTACCTTAAGGTAGCCAATTCAAGTATCACATAGAAATTGCACTGTGACGTACTGCAGCACTTAACAAAGGATTAGGATCTGGTTCTTCACTAATCACATTAACCTTCACCCACTCACGGTTAGCACTTGATTTTTTCAATGCATCAATAACAGCTTGAACATAAAGACCATCTTCAAAGGTCGCTGCAAGAGCTACAGGTTCCTTCACCCAACCTCGTTCATATTCAACTGTCAAAAATGCTTCCTTTAAAGCACCAATCATTTTGAATAACCCTTTCATGTATGGCCGAGGTATCACATTTGCAGCAACAGAATTAATAGCTCCACCTCGTTGAAGGTCCTCCACATCTAAATAAATAACTTCCTCTTTCGCTGCACCTGATTTTCTGCCGTATAAATCACCACCACGAACAATTAAATGACCTGCATGACCACACACTAAAACCTCTTGTATAAAAGATCCGGGAAGGTGGTTGTTTAAAGTTGCGGTAACTAGTGTTCCTCCATTCATTTCCATCTGGAAAGTGCAGAAATCAGGACTTGATATATGACGAATTCCATTAACTGTGTCTGTGGTTTTAGTGAAAGTACGGATAACTCCATGCACACGTGTTGCACGCTGATTGGTAATGTGAGACACCAAATCAATTACATGACTACCTACAAGTGTAAGTACTCCACCACCCATTGTATCATCACAAAGCCAGTCATATGCATCATGAAGTAAACTACCCATATGGACACGTACATCACACACAGTCACTTCACCTTCTTCACCAAGATAACCTTCTCCAATGGCTCTTCGCATTTGTATGAAAGCAGGTAAAAATCTTAAACTATGGTTGACAATAGAAATTAGGGAAGGGTAATACTGAGATGCTCTTACCATTTTCAAAGCCTCCCCTTGACACAGACCAGCTGGTTTATCACACAAAACATGCTTGCCAATGCCAAGGGCTTTTACAGCTATCTGAGCATGAAGGTTCGGAGAGCAAATTATGAATATGAGATCAACATCTTTTCGAAGCAATACATCATCAATTTTGTTGGTGTAAAACGAAATGCCAAGTTCTTTAGCGACTTCTTCTGCTGTATTTAAAGTTCTTCCCCACAAAGCCTCAACTTTAAAACCCTTCTCTCTTAAAAAGGGCACTATCACTCTTACAACATTGCCAGTTCCAAACACTCCTATTCCAGGCAACATTTTGACAAATCTTATCAAAATAGTTTACAGCTAACAACCATGACAATGTTCATGAAAAGGTGATAACCTCACAACCGAAACTTTGGTACCGCAGTTCAATTTTTTTCATTTATTTATTTAGGAAAAAAACACCACGAAAAACTCACAACCATGTTCAACACAACCGACAATACGTAATTACACATCGAGCGGGTGATGTGGAAGACAAGACATCACTTTTATAACTGATGAACGTTTGTTGAACACCATGGTTTTCTTCCTCGTTTTACATAAAATTAATAAAGATTGCAAGATTTTCCCAAACCTTGCTTGCAACCACAACCAATGCTAGTTTTGACGGCGTTGATCAGTTTTGACATTTGCGCAATATTGCCAATACTCCAACACAAAATCAGGGCTGGCAAACTACGGGTTAAATCTTGCAACTTCCCAAAGAGTATACCTTTGAAACATAATTGATGGTTCGTCCTTTCTCAGTGCTGCGCTCGAACGAGAGGCGATATTACTATGCCACAATACGCGGTGGTGGAGACATGGTGGACTATTTATCAAAGTGGGAGTTACGACTTTTAACATATTCTCGACTCATGTTCAGTCAGTGTGCTGTGCGGTATTCTTGAATGCACCATCATTTTGGTTTAGGTATTTACAATTCATTTTAGGATGGCTTTCCTACCTTGGCAGTGACCTAAGATGTTATTACAATGCAATAAAATAATGTGACAATATTAATACAATTAAATAAAAAACACATTACATTATTTACTTCAACAATATTCTAATCTATCGTCAGTAAAATTGAAGATACACTTGATTTCATTAAAATATTCATGGAATAGCAGTTATAATTATAATTTTCATAGAATTACGTATCTACATGTAGACAGTCATATAAAAAATTTACAATGTACTAATTTAAATAATTTAACCCACGGAACTGGTAGTGCTAAACAGCACATACTTTCTCAAATTATTTTTAAATTTGCACCTTGCAAAAATAAGACCAGCGCAATTCTGTTAAGGGTCTCTTCTTTTATCCGGGGGGGGAGGGGGGTGGAATTGAAAAAAATGGGGCAGTTTTTGAGAAAATAATTTACTCAGAAATTGTATATATTTATAGCACAAATCACGCAAAAGTACTGTTGTTTTCAACAACAAAAAACATAAAAAACACAACCTTTTTCAATGGGCGTATGTTTTACTACAGACTTAGTCCGAGGAAAAATCTCTACCTCCAAATAACTCTTTGTTATTTTCGAAAAAACAAATGTGCTAAAAAATTCGCTAAAAATGGGACTAGCGCCATACTCTTTGCCGACCCTTGATACATATGAGGTGAACATTTTAAAGAAAAAAATTGAAGCAGTATTTGAGAAAAAAATGTTTAAAAGATTTTAATTTGCCTGTGTTTTGGGCAAAATTACTTGAAAACTACTCATATTTCTGAAATATTGAACATGATCTGTCTTTAAAGAACAGATTTCGTTAAATAAAAATATCTTTAGCTTCAATATTATAACATTGTAGGAAGAAAAATTCACTTTCAAAGTTTAATAATCAACTAGTGGTACTACAGCATAGCACAGACTTTCCCTTATTAGTTTTCTATTATTAGTTTTCTCTATTATTCTATTATTAGACTTTCCCTTATTAGTTTTCTATTTCCTTTGGTCTCGGATAGCTATTCGGAATTGTTACATACTCTTGCCAGCTGCCAATTGCTGGAAAGGTGCATATTTACGGCGTAAGATATATTAAAAAAAATACATTTATGTAATTTTTGAAAATAAACAAAACAAAAATCAAAAACAAATGGACTTTACGTCATAATAAAGAGTGTATTTAGCGCTATCCGTTCGAAAAGTTGAAAGAAACAAATTGAAGCCATTTTTGAGAAATTGGCATTCGAGCGTTTGTGAAAATGCGAAACTTTCAGCTAATTTTTACAAAAAACGGTTGAGTTTTAGAGAAACTTTATATGACATTATTTAAAGCACATGAGCACATATACACATAAATATAATGAAGTGAACATATCGGCTCTAATGTAAATATTGACGTGAGAGGCAAGTCACAAAAAATACATTTTCGTAATTTAAAAAAACAACAACGAAAGAATAAAGCAATATGTCGTTTATATCATCTCATAGAGAACATTTAGCAATATCCCTACCAAAAGTTTAACGAAAATAATTTGGAGCCGTTTTTGATAAAATCATGTTTTTGTTATTTTTTTAAAATTGCACATATTACACACAATATTGCGTGTACACGAAATCTACTATAAGTTTCAAAAAACGTCTATGACATTAATGAAAGAACTCACTACGGGGAAGAAATTTCGTTTGAAGGAAAAATATCTGCAGTTTAGGATAGCATTTGCCTCCCTTCGGATGTGCTACCATCCACAACCGACGGTGCGCTCGTGCCTTCCTGCGCCGCGCGACCCCGCTCTTTGTCCCAGATTGATTGATAGTTATTCCGTGGGCGTCAACTACTAGAGTTGTCTGTTCCGTAAGTGTAGTGCACGTTTAAATCGGGAGGTGGCGGTGGTCTCCCCCCGCTGTATGGCGAGATCCGGCGCCGGCCAACCGCAGGCTAGCGAGTTTTCCCCAACCAGGTATCTCCCACCAGCGAGGCAACGCTCCAACTGGGCCAAACACTAAGCTCCCGACCAGTCTCCGGGCATGTGTGATAGTGTAATGCATGTTAGTGTAAGCGGGTGTAAGAGTTGAGGATAGGCCAAAGAAGAGGTAAGAAAGATCGCGCGCTGTTCGTGGCCCGTTTTTTACTGCTCCGGCATTCGCCCCATGTTGATCGGAGAAACCACAGAAAACTATCGATCAGAGCAGCCGGCCGCTAGATTTCTCCTTCAGACCGCGACTGAATTCGACCCAGCTGACAGGCCGCGCCTCCTAGAGGTTTGTTTGACGGGAACCCTTCCCACGTCCACCACAGGGCCTGGAGACGAAGCCTCCCCTCCCCTCTCGGAGAGGGGGATATCAGACTGCCCCCTCCCTGAGAGTCTCGCGGTAGCCTCCGTGGGAGGGTCGATTTTCTATATATTTTTGAGAATTCTTGCGCCAGTCAAATTTAAATTCGGTCAGATGCAGATGGAAACTCATATCGCCCAGATGTCAGATCGCTCTCGTCAGTTAAGTGCCAGAGATTCATTCTCGGTGGTTGACGCGTCATCGCATAGATTGGCGAAAACATTCGCGCCAGCCATGTAAAGTCTAAGCGCCATACCGCAAAGTAGCTTCACGCCGCAACAGGCATCAATCGGGGCTACTGGCTGCCCATCAGCACAGGCCTTATATGTGACATATGAAGTTTAGTAATTTCTCCTTGAACCTCTAAAATACTTGCATGAGAGATTTTTGAGTCCAGTAAGCTCGTAATATTTGATTGCGTTCAACAGCCACTTCAACAATATTGATTTGACCTCTGGGATAGGCAGTGTCGTGTCTTAGCAACAAACCCGTTTCTATTCGGCCTCTTGAGGAAGGGTTTCTGGTACAGGGGCTTGGCTTATTACAAGTTCATTCAGTCCACACACCGGAGGTAAGGCTGTCGGTTGTCCGTGTCTAACTAGTTGACTCCTAATATTTATAATAACACATTGAAGACGCGACGACCGTGTTTGGGGGTGAATTCCATTTCATGTTCCAACACATTATTAATTTTTCACTTCAACGTGCTTCTAGTTACATACGACTAGGGAGTTTGAACAAGTTTTGCATTCTCGCTTTACTGCTTTTAGATAGTAAAGATAAATTATTGTAATATTGTGGCAGAAATGGGCAATTTTTCGATAGAAAATCTCTTATTGTCGGAATCTCGTTACTTGATGTACATTCTCTAACACATTGTGTAGTCAGAATCTACAGTCATTAATCTGAATCCAGTTTTGTGGGACCGTAATACCGACAAATCGATTGACGGTAAAACGTCTGCGTCTCCGACTACGATCAACGCTGACTTCCCAACCTTTCAGACGATTTTCTCTAAAATTAATATTCCTCCTCGAGATGGAACTAACTCAAGGTCCTACGAATTTGAAACGACTATTTTTATTTTTGGAGTTCTTTGCTTGAAAACTCAATATTTTAAAAACTTCCTCAAAAATTGCTGTACATTTTTTTATTAAACTTCGTCCTCAGATAGCGTAAAGAAGCTCGATGAAAAAAGGAGCAGGTCTAATTTGTTTTCAAATCTCTTAATTTTTGAAAATATCAATATCAATATATATATATATATATATATATATATATATATATATATATATATATATATATAAAATAGCCAATTAATATGTGCTTCATACAAAGGAAAATACATTTCAATCATTTAATGTAACGAAGTAACATCTGTAACACTTTCTCTTGACAGTGGTACAAAACTCATTAATCATTGGTGTATGGCGGTCACGTTCTCATGCAATCAAACAGTTTTCGTTTACCTGCCGAACACCGGCGCGTGATGAATTGCCTATCCGTCAGGGGTAATCTTTCTTGTGTAATTTCGTTATAAGAAGTTCCTTAAGATACGGGCCTATTCATAGGCAAAACGTGATAATTTTCTACTCCTTTTCATGCCCTAAAACGCTGTATCACTTATTCCGAGACACCTGAATAAGTGTAAGAAGTAATTTGTCGTGTCCATTGCAAGGTAACTTGTTCCAGGGGTGCTGTCACCGGCGCTTGGCTCTGGTGGGTGCAGGGGGCCCAGGGCTGCTCAGGGGGGCAGAGGCTGAACGAGCTCCGACATACGCCGCGCAGGACCCGCCGCTCCTCCCCTTTCAACTGTAAGAACTGGCTACCAGGGAACCAGTCTTTTGATCTGATAGGCCACGGTGCTTCCCCTTTGGAATCAATTTAAAGTAGTATGTTCGCTAGATCGATCGTGGTGAAGTACTCCAGAAATGTTCTTTAAAAGAAAGCAAAATATCTATTTTTCAAGTGAGTCAGAACAAAATTGGCTCTTACCTACCTAATTTT